ACGCTCTCCCTGGCAGTTATTAATCCTTCCACGGAGACGACGACTTTCATTGAGTGGGCCCGTACCCAGGCAAAAGCATCATGCCGCTCCCATCAGAGACCAGCATGGCCCAGGAAAAACCCAGCCAAGTTCTAGAAAGCGTCAGTTCCTCCCTTCCTCATACAGAGGCAGGTGTCGATTAGCTCCAAACCACAGAAACCACACTCTGGAGGATCGCTTCCAAGGAGGGTCTCGCAGCGGCCACCCCAGCCTCACACAAGCCACACGCTCAGCTCACCCAGGTACTGGGGCTCGTCTCCCTCCTCGCTCAGCTCATACTCCACCCGGAATCCGGACACTGTGTGCGAAGCCGAGACCCAGGAGACCACGAAGCTGCTGCTTGTGATTTCAGTCACAGATTCAGAAGTAGCCACAACGGGAGAAAAGGGAGTTGTCTCTCCCGTCACGGTGTTACCTAGAGTCGCAGGAGAAAGCAAACCATCAGCCATTAAGAAAACTGGCCATCCTCATCTGTGAATACCATTTAAAAAAAAAATTCAGTGCAATTCCTGGAAAAATACAAATTGAGAAGGAAAGCCCTCCCTGCGGAGAGCCTTACTGAGAAACACAGGTGGGGACACAAGGACGGCTGGGTACATACTGGTCACAGGTGCGTTGGCACTGGGGGTGGTGAAGTCGAAGCGGGTCACTTCCCTCTGGCCGTAGTGCTGGATGCTGATGAGCTGACCCTCGTAGATCACACCTGGCCTCAGGCCTTTGATGGTGTAGGAGTTCAAGTGGCCTGGAATGGTGGCTTCCTTCCAATTGCCCACAGAATTTTTCTGAAAACATAAATTTAAAAAAAAAAACAAAACCACATCAGTGCTTACAAGAATGAACTTTTAGAGATGATGTTCAGTAATCTTCCAAGAATCTGTGGAGCTCCACTTGGAGAAAAACCATGGAAAACTGAGATCATAATGTCTTATTGCTCCCATTGTATAGATGGAGGCACAGTCCCGTGGCATGGCTGAGCTTGCATAGCTGCGGACCTCAGGGCCCTTCACTGTCGCCAAGTTAATTATTTTATACCAGTAACATAGAATAAGGAAGGTATGCTTTGCCTTTCCCAGTGTCTTCATTTCTACAGAGAACAAATATCTACTTCTTTTTGAAGTGGGAAAATGCCACACATTCTCATCTAACTGAGTTAGATACAATCCAAGTTTCTTGCTTTTTGGAAACATTCAAAGGCTTAATCTTGCCCTGTGACTCAGATCTTGGGGCCATCACATACTGGGTACAACTGGTCTGATTTTGTGACTCATTCTTGGATACGAACTGCCCCATCAGAAGTGGTTAGCCAACTTTGGACGAGACTGCAGAAAAATACGATTTTGGTTTATTTAATCTTTTGCTTCCAGTTTACATTTTACATCCTGTCCAACTTCATCAACATGTCACAGCTCATAAAACTCAGCTCAGTAACATGGGGAAAGAAACTCCCTTACTTCAGACCAGATGAGACCCTTTTAAGTGTAAATATTTGAAACTAACATAAGTCAAAATATATTTTTTGTGCCCAGTGACTTTTTAAAATTACCCAATCAACCAGTTCCTCTATAATTCAAATACTCAAATGTCCATTTATATTTTGAGGATAAGTGAAAGTAATCTTAGTACTCTTTAAGTTTTAACTAAAATACACTATGAAAATAATTTAAAATTAGTTATTGCAGTTTAACTCAAATTCAGGGATAACCCTGTCATTCAAGGTGAGCTTTTTCGGTTAGCTATCAGAAGAAAATAACAGAAAATAAACTCTCAGATGGCATCCCATTAAGAAGAAATCTGAATTTCTTTAATTACTAGAAATATCAAAGAAATTCATCACTGTCACTCTTTGAAGACTTTCCAACTCAGTGTACATTCTGTACCTCCTAGTAAATGTTCCCTATGGCCATAATCTCACACAACACTTTAGAGTTAAGTTTAAAGTAATAAAATTGGGGCTGAGATAAGAAGATGAGGGACAGGGAGGTGTTGGTGCTGGGAAAAATACTTCGATGCAGCTGATTTGTATCAACTGATGTCAAGTTCTCCATGTGGCCACTCAGTATGCTATATGGACATTACAAAAAAAAGGAAAGGAATAATTTTTTTTTCATTCTCCGTTTGTTAAGCAGGTGAGCCAGGCACTGAGCCATTGTAGGCTCTAGAGAGACAGCAGTGAACAAATGAGAAAGACATGGTCCCTCTCTGAGAGAGGCTGTTTCCATATTCCAGTCTTCCAATACTCCATGAAGAGTTAATCAGATCTGCTGGCTTAGAATTTGGAAGTTCATCGCTTCTCGGCCTTCTGGCTAAGATCAAGTGTAGAATTTGGAAGTTCAAGAGGCTCAGGGTCTGAGGATTCTGGGTAGGATACTCACAGGTCTCCACCTTAGAATGTACTTGGAAATGTGAGAAGGTTCTGGTGCATTCCACTGGATGGGGTGAGAGTTGGGCTGACTGGGCGTCTCTGTAATAATTACTTGCACAGGACCAGTTGTGCCTGAAAATGAAAATGTGACATTTTGTTATCTTGGGTATTTACTCACTTCCTCATTAAAGACAGTTTTGATTATCAGTACATGTGAGTAAAATAAAATTATCTGGAATTACTTCATCCTTTCACACACTGACATTGGAAATCAATGCAACAAATCCTTTTTTAACTGATAATTATTATCCTTCATGTGAGAAATGCAAATCATATTTGTTCCTAGCAAATAAAATGCCTTTTAGTTTAACTCTGTAGTCTCTAGGTAAAAATTGTGAGAAAATTGTGAAACGACCCAAACAGAAATAATGGAATATGGAATACAAACTACATTTGCTTATGATACTAAGCCTCTTTGAAAACACATTATAACTTTTGGAGGTTTTCAAAATGAATCTGCTACCTAAGAAGGAAACAACATTCCAAAGGCCGTATGATATGATGCAAAACAAACACATTTCTAAATAGGGTAGAATCTTAGGCAAATAGGCAAAGGTAATAATTAAAGACCTAGTTTTATTTCTCATCAGTCTAAGCAGTCTATCAGGTTGGAACAAAATTCGAGTTTGATTTTTATTCAAAAAGTAGACTCTTAAATCACACCATTGCTTATTAATTACATTTATTTTTTTCAAAAAAAGTTATCAACTAAAACAACCTACACTAAATGTAATATTTCCACACCTTGATGTGTATCACTGTTACCCACAAAATTTAAAGTACAGTTTTGATTCTTTTGTTAAAAAGAAAAGTAGGGAAGGAGAATCGTGGTATTGATAGCATTAACTTCATTTAGAATCATAATAAAATAACTGAAAAATGTATGCTTGCAGAACGGAAAATTTTTTTTTTCTCAAACACTGTCTTCTTTAGGATGTCAGTTGATGTTCAACTTACTAGAAATAAAAAAATAAAACTCTATATAATAACCTTTCCAAGAATTTGTGATACTCTGTCTAACAGAGCAAAATTGTACATGTTTAATAAGGAATTTTACTAGATTATTACAAGATTTATGTTTTCTGAACGCTTCTAAGAAAAAATATATTGATTTTCAAACTTATTTCTTAGCTGTTAAATTCTCTTTGCAAACAAAGTTTTCTCCAGCACAGAAACTGTATATACCTTAGGTACCTGTGTAGACTTCAAAATTCTAAAGTAAGGTACTCACTTCCACACCAGGAATCAATCAGAGTTGGTTGAAAATTAACAAATATTCTTTGGATCTTAATTTCATTTAATGTACATATGTCTAAGCTACGTGAAAACCAAAATTCACACAGAAAATTCTCAGTTTTCCATCTTAAAGTAGCTTCTATTTCCTTGAACACACAGGATGTTCGTTTTAATCAATTGGCAGAAGTTAATTCTATGTCCTTTTTGAAATCACTCCTTCTGTTCATGAAGATCCTCACAAATGTTAGTACATTTTTAAAGATAAATATTTAAGCAAAATTTTAGAGATACAATGGGATTGAAAGTAATTCCAAGTAAATCAAGTAAATATAGGACTGTCATGTCCTTAAATTATTTATGATAATTGGCATAAGGTTATTTAAATATTGAACCTGTAAAGAAATCCTACTATAATTTCCTTAATAAAGAGACATCCCATGTGTATTTTTTTTTTTTTTTTAGTCTGTCAATCATGATTTGGGGAAGAAAGAACTAATGATGGCTAAAGATCTATTAAGTCGTAGGAAGACAACACATCTGGTCTTGACTTCCCTGGGTAAGCCTGATCATTTTCCTACACACACATGGACACAGGAGAAGATGGCAAGACTGCAGGGGCAGGAGGGAGGCAGAAAAATGCCACAGCAATGGATTTTTCCCCCAACAATAAGGAGCAAAACTCCTACTACTTTTCTTTCGTCAGACTTTAGGCAGTGGTCTAAAATTCTAGGCTTCACCATTTAGTTTATGCCATAGCCCAACTTTAAAGGAAATCAGCTGAATATTAAAAGGAATTTAGCACATTTTAAACTAGGAAGCCAAGAGATTTGTCAGTCATTTATTAGGTCAATTCTATTCCTATTACTGTTACGCTCTGGCCCACACTGCATATAATTTGAAGACAAAAAAGGTTAAAAATAATGACATCATTTATATTACTTAGATTTAAATTTCTGATAATCCTTTTGCTACTGGCTAGTTGGTATAACTTTTTAAATTAATGTCACTGGCATATGCAATACAGCAATTACCATTGTGAAATCTACTCTCTCCTGTTCAGTCTGATCAAACTAACTATAAAAGGGTAAAGCAGGGACACGATACCTACATTTTTAATGATAGCTTAAAATAAGGTCAAAACGGGTAATTTCCAGTCATGGTGACCCTGGAAAAGTTAAACATTCATGATTTTTTTGACCCAGTCCTTCTTTCTCTATTTAATTTGCTGAGATCTGTGCTTTCCGAGTTGCTGATTGACAAACTGAATGCTTCTTATCTTCTGTTAGTTTGAACAACTCCTGTCCTTTGCAGGAGGAACAAACAGGGCAAGGCTCAGAGACAACCTCTTGGTATCTGTTAGTGCTTTATTCTGACCACACTCGTAAAAGCCCCACATGCCTGGCATGAGCCATTGGGCAGCTCAGACATACATCCAAGCACCAAAGAGCACATCCAAGGTCAAATGTCTGTCCCCACTCCCCTCAATCGCCTCTGCTCGGTGGACTTTTGTTATTACCCTTTTTAGAGAATAGGAAATAGGATCAACGCACAAAACTCCAATACTGAAGGACCCTTCCCATCCAGATTTGAGCTCTCCCATGTCTATAGAACCATTTCCAGGAAGATTTGAGCCCTTCCCATCCAGATTTGAGCTCTCCCACATCTATCGAGCCATTTCCAGGAAGATTTGAGCCCTTCCCATCCAGATTTGAGCTCTCCCATGTCTATCGAACCATTTCCAGGAAGCAGCTCTGTGGGCACGCTTATTTGAAAAGAGAGCAAAATGATCTCTCTAAATCATTTAGGAGGAAACAGTTTTCAGTAAATTGCCACACCAATAACAAACATAAGCATAGAAACCAAAGAGCATTCTTCATAAGTTAGATGCATCATTTAAACAAACAAACCCAATTACATTCTTTCTGAATTTATAATACTTCTAGAATCAGATTTAAAAATATAGTAAATTTAAAAAATATTTTTGAAGTGATTCCTACACTCAAATCCACCAAGAAATACTATTTAGGAGGTTGGTTGATCTGTCCTGTGAAGCTTCGGCATCAAAGTTACCTTCCCTGGCCCTGACATTGTCTGCGAGTTGAGAAGAGCAGAATCTTCAAAGTTCCTACGAAGGGTACATCTGTGCAGTTGGAATTTAGGATTCTGACTGCTGGAAGGAACTTTAAAGGTCATCAGTCACAGTGTCCCCACATTGCAAATGAGGAGACGAGGTGTGAACTTTGGCTTTCGTCAAATCATGCCATAGCTTGTTCTCTGTAACAGTGAATCTCTTATCACACCACAGAGGGACTGACTGAATCTTAATTTCTTGCACATGCAGATTCTGATGCCTTAAAAATCTCTCTTTTAGTGTCTGAAGGTAGGCCATGTTTTAAGCTAATAGAGATTTTGGAGACTTTGTATCCCAGTGGTAGTTCAAATAACTGATGCTTAATGAGCCTTTCACAACATAACACATCTTATTGTAATCACGCAGTGAATATTAAAACATTTTTTCCAAAAAAAACAAAAAAACAAAAAATGAATTAACCTTTACAGCTAGGCATTCTGTCTTTGTAACCTGAAACATCCCAGTAGTAAACATCTAAAAGTGTTTGAACTGTGTGGGCAGAGAGTTGACCAAGTTACTCAACTATTGGCCCAGGATACTGTGTTCCAGACGCAAATTGATTAAACAAATGAAAAGTCTGACACAAAGAGGCCTTAGATGGCATGCTGAATGAACACATGCTTATGTTGTATTTCACGCCAAGTCTCTGGGCCACTTCTCTGTCAAGAACCATAATATAAATCCCCAACCCTTTACTCCTGGGGATAACTTACTTCATGATTTTGTATTTCCATGTATGGATGTGAGATGAGGTGAGCCACAGTGTTTTCACCTAATGGAATGTTCTACAGTGTTAAGAAACAAAATTATATGCAGGCATATTTTCACATCCTTCCCAATCTTTTGCTTAATAGAGGGAGAAAGGAAAATCATTTTGGTCCAAAATACAGATGATTATTGGAGAGTGATAGGAGAAAAGGGTGGGCAAGAGAGGAGACTTCAACTTAGGCATGAGAGTATTAATATATACTGCTGCTATACCTACTGGCAGTTCTCTATTTGCAAAAATAGAGCTACTAACCTGGATAGGTCTGTAACGGCTGGCAATGCCACTCCCCGATGCCACGGCCATAGCAGTAGCACTGGTATCTAACACCATGCACGTACTTTTCCCACGAGTCTCCAATTTGATAAAATGTCCGGGTCTCTGAATCCTGGCATTGGTCTAACATATATGCAAAGAAAAGATACACATCCTTGAAGACTTATGGCTACACATTTCCTTTTAGTGTGCTAGTGCATACATTCTTAGTTTGATTAGAAATTTGCAACTGTCCTTACAGATACATGCAGTTAAAAGAAATATTCTGTTCACATCCTTTATCTTACAGGACAATTAGTGGCAAAAACATACCCATTAGGAGGGATTTTTAGCTTTCTAAAAGGGTAATATTTCTAAATAAAAATGTAAAGGTTTAGATTTCAGTATATGTTGATAGTAATTTGAGGAAAAATTAGATAGTACCTTTGCTCATTTTAATGCAAGTAGCTTACTATTCGATTAAGTAAGGAAAAAAGTCTGTAACAATTTTGTTCTCTTTATTTCTCAAAATTTGGAGAAACTTAATTTTAAATTTAAATGAATGAATGAGATTTTAACTACAAGTACTCTTCAAGCAGTTTCTAAGAAAATCTCTCAGGCTTCTCTCCGGGCTTTGCAGCCTCACATCAACCAAACTGATGTTATCAGTGCATTTTCGCAGTGAGGGGCCTCTCTCTTAGCAAAGGCATATTAATGGAGTACCTTAAACTTTTGAGTGCTGGTAACATAACTCTTTTAAGCCTCTCTACCTTCACTGTTTGCTCAGTTCTATTATGAAGGACAGCCAAAAAAAAAAAAAAATAGAGTATTTTGGAGTATTTACTGGCATAATCCTTTGCTTCTGTTTTTGCAAAGTCAATAGAGGAAATCGTTTTTCCATAACGTGGACTATCTTTATGATTCAGAAGCAGAGAATGAATGCCCCTTGATTGCAACAAACCTGCATTCATCACCAAATTTAGCAAAAACCAGATGACTACAAATATCAAGATTATGTATTGGTTCAGGATTAGAAGACTTGGCAAAGATCTTTGCAAGCAGCTGACTGAAGCCACCTTCAGTCATGAAACATCAAGGAGGTTTTCCTGTCTGAAACTTGCTGGCCATTCTCTGTGTCCATAATCCTCCAGGGAGCCGGGCTGCTTACCTACGGGATCGCACTTCCACCTGCCCCGGCCCTGACCGAAGCATGTGCAGTTCAGCATGTGCCCCTCTTCATGACGCTTGTGGAACGTGTCATTCACGTTGTACGTAATGTCGTCAACAATGCACTGGTCTGTTTGGGAAACAGTTGGATGGGTGAGAAATTTCTTTGGTAAGTTCCACTGGTGAAATAAAAGAAATTATGCTTTTCAAAGAATACAGTTCCTTCCAGTAAACCATCAGTACCTTCCACTAAAATAATTTCAGCTGGCATAGAACTAACTTTTTTCAAACCTTAGTCAGTAATACAATTTTTTTGCCAAAGCAGTTCTCTCCCATACACTTGTAAATGTTGTGGAGGAGTGAAGAATGTGGTAAAATATGCCTTCTGGTGAAAAGCCAATTTTTGAACAGTATCTTACTTTCTGAAAAGTTCTTGCTGATTTGATAATTCCCTTTGTATCTCTCCTTGTACGTGATAAATAAGAAGAAGATTAGACACATGTATACACCACCCAGCAGGGTGCAGTGGTCTGGTTTGGTCTCTGGAATGGGGTAAAGAGGAAGAGAGAGTTCACAGAAATTAGCCCAACTCTCTTCCTCATTCTCTAAAAATTCTGAGAGTGATTTTCCCTCTCAAGTTCAGCTTCATCTGCAAGAGGAGGAGTTGGTCTGTCCAACTTACTAGGTCCCTGTCAGCTCTGCAACATCATACGTAAATTATACTCCTGGGTTGTGCTGCTATGGGACACCACAGAGGAGAAGAGATTCAGGCCGATAATCTACACGCTAGCTACTATTTATTAGCTGATGGTTATGCCGAAATATTACTTTTCAAATCAAAGAAAGGGAACACTAAGATGGTTTTAAGAAATGAATTCATTTAATAAATGAATACCTCCTCCTATCATATAACTGGGTACAAAGGGGAAAAACTAATCTGAACAAAGAAAATACATCTCCCTACATATGGGTCTCCTTAACTTTGGATCTTAAATTTGGACCTGATTTTAGAATAGCAAAGCCATTTTTTCTTTAAAGAAATTATTTGATCACTTCTAGACGTGAAGCCAGTGGCCTCACCTAAAGCTCAAAGGGATAAACGCTTGCGTTCTTGCCTTTGGAGTCATGGTTTTGGCTCAACCTAAGTGCTCACATCCTGGGAACGTTTCAGAACCTGGGCATTGCCGTGCCAGCTTTTCTCAGCTGGCTGTCTGAGAAAGCTAAACTTGTCAGCACAGTAGATGAGGATTGGAGTGGCATTGTGTATTTCTTCCCCTGCTTTTGGCAAACTATCAGTTTTCACATGGAAGTCTGTTTCCTTGTACACTTGGGGCTCTCAAATGTTTTCATTAATAAACCAGCGTACCTCGGAGCTGGGAATAGGCAACACACGTCCACTCGCCACGACCGTTCCCGACACAGGTGCACCGCATCATGTGGCCCATGTCGTGCTGCTTGTCCCACTGATCTCCAATGCGGTACATGACCCCTTCGTTGGTTGTGCAGATCTCCTCGTGGGCTGTTGGAAACAGAAGAGAAATGCGCTTGGTCTGAACGGACACGTGTGAAATAGGATCAGTCCCGTCTGCTCATCCTAAGAACTCTCACTTGGGAAGAAGCCTGGTGTGGCTCAAAGAAATCTGAGTGCTTCTAAGTAGAGGCAAAATTTGGACCTTGAAGAAGGAAACTAAGAGCCCAAAGGTGAGCTACGTTACAGGAAGGGAATGTTAAACTAGGCAACGCTTACACATTCTTACAAAGGATCGGCACCGTGCGGGAGGCCTGGGTTGGATTACTGCTTTGTAATTTTTTGTAGTTTCAACTTATTCTGGTTGAAAGAAAAACCATGTGTTTGGGTATAAAATTTCAAGTAAAAATGGCTTTTCCTTCTAAACCCAACATCTCTTTTTGCTGCCAGGAGAGAAATAAAGGTTCGTCTTTGCCTCACGTTCTGCGCGGCAATCCCTGGTACAGTTCCCCTTTCTCCATTTATACAAACTGGATATATTTTTTTTTTTAAGAAGAAATTCCTTACCTGTCAGAAAACACTGAGCTTTGGTCACTTCGGTAGTTACTGCTAAGTGACACATCTTATGCTAGTCAAACTATAATCAATCGTGTGTCAACACTGTAGGTTTGGGTCTCAGCCGTTTATATATATGTGTATATATACACATTTATAAATATATCTGTATAAATTTATATATATACACATTAAGTATTTTAAACTGCTCAATTGTATGTTCTTTACATAGATAAAGCTGTACAAATTTATGTTTCCACACCTATAAGTAGTTTTATTGTATAGTATGTATATATTTTTGGACATTAAATCATGTTAATAGGGTTTAAAAATTATACAAATAATTATCTTATATATTTTCTCAATTCTTTTTTTTTTTTTTTGCAATTTTTGGCCAGGGCTGGGTTTGAACCCACCACCTCCAGCATATGGGGCCGGCACCTTACTACTTTGAGCCACAGGCGTGGCCCCTATTTTCTCATTTCTTATGTACATGATATATGATATAACATAGCATATATATCACATAAAGTTTCTGACATCTCAAAATTGTCTTAATGGGTGAAATAGGAGAAAACTGGATGCCAGTCGTCCGTCTCGACTCCCTGGCTGGTTGTCCACAAAGGCAACCCCACAGGGACTTCTTACCAGCCATGGGACAGAATCCAAACTTCTGGTCAGCATCATAGTTCTGCGTGGTTCCACACCATTTCATATTGTCTCGTCTGCCCTCAGAAGTACAATCAGTGTAATTGTGGTTGTTGTACAGGAAGGGGAAGTGGCACAAGGCACCATTGGAATTTCCACCTCGAGTCTGAACCAACACTGCCCAGAACAATACACACAAAAAAAGGAAGGAAAAGATTACAACTGAGTTTTCCAACGTACAGAGAGAAGAAAGGTTCTGGGACAGCCAGATCCCTGCAGTTACTGCACAGAGCATCTGCCTGGCTCAGAAAATAGATGTCTGACATCATGGTTCTAAGCTTCTTAGTGTCTTCACTTTCAACAAAGATTCAAGCCTCATTTTCCCAGACCTCCACCCCCAAAAAGATTAAATGATAGCTTTGAATAAAACATAGCTTTAACCAGAAAATAAGCAAAGGAGCTCAAACATCCATCCTGTGTATTCTTCAGCCTTGTGGGAATCACCTATTGATTTCAAATACAAGCATCTTTAATCACATCATAATCCCAGTGTGCTGACGTGAATAAACTGGAAGGCTTTTCCCTCAGTGTCTTTTCCCAGCGGTGCTGGGAACATGGAAGGATCCTCAGTTGCTACGTCAGCTCCGTATCTCTTGGGTCCAAACTGAACAAAAATGATGCCTCTTATGCAGCCTCAAAATTAATGGCTAGACTGCTGGCAAACCAAAGTAGGGCCTGAAAGATGAGTGTTTCTCCTTGCTGCGGTTTCCCTGGGAGACACTCACCAGTGTGGTCTGTACAGAAAGAATATTTCTGGTCTTGCTCATAATTCGAAGTTGTGCTGCACCAAAGATGTCCATCCTGCCGCCCTTCTGTGGTGCAGGAGTAGAAAGTCCTGCCATTGTAGGTGAATGGTAAGACACACGGCTCCCCGTTTGAATTGCCACCGTAAGTCTGGGTTACAGCTATAAGCATAACCAAAAGAGTCTCAGGTAAATAGAGCTACTTTATCTCCCACCAGCAGCTGCTAATTTATCGCTTAAATGAGAGACTGAGCTTGTGCCCTGAAAGGAAAAAGCCATCTGGTTAATTTCAGTGACAATGCAGTGCTCAGGAAGCCATGTCTACTGTGGCTAGAACAACACCTGAGCTCTTCTGCACTGTTACCACTTCTGCGGTCATGCCTCAGTTTCTCTATTTGTGAAGCTATATTAATAGAATTAAGGATGCTGTTTAAGGTTGCCAGTGAGGGGATGACATTATCTGTGCCATAGAACTTATATGTGAGGGGGAATAGTCAAGGGTGCTGATTCTTATTGCTGTCCAGTAGAGCGCCAAAGTTGACCTCCCAAAAGGCTATAACAAACTGGTCCACATATGGAGGTGGTCAACATAAGGAAGTAGACCTACTGTACTGATATTACATGTGGTACATGTTTGTTCTATGAAAATTAGGTCAACTTAAGGAGGTGGTCAACTGTGTTCTACTGTGGTGACTACCACATTCATAGCACAGCAGAGATGCATTAGCATACTGAAAGACGTTTCCATCACAAAGTTGCTACAGTTTGAGATTTACAGTATAAAATATGGGTGATTTGCTATTCAGAAAGCAATTATCTTATAACCACATTTTAGACATATAAAGATAATGTATACACTGAGATCCCTATGCCTGGAAAGAAAATAGACAGATTAAAGAGACTGGAAGGAAATTTGATATGCCAACCCTGATTGTTATCACAGGATGGTAAGATCACACGCTTTTCTTATTTGTTTTATTGTTTCCCATTAATGTATTGTCATCCAAACACTGAATAATGAAGTCATCCGTACTATTCTTGGAAAGACAACACACACCTGTCTCTTGGCAGCTGACTCCATTGCCCAGACAAGTGCAAACCATCTGCTGGTTCCCTTGCGTCTTCAGCCACTGCATCCCCACAGAGTAGACCACACCACTGTCTGTGACACAGTGGCCGTACGGGGCCGGCTGGGGGTGGGGCTGCGGCTGGTAAATGGCTGTTCGAACATCTGCGAAGGAGCCAGGTCCTATGGGCATGAGAAATGACAGGAACAAAATTGGATGAGAGAAGACAACTGATTCCTGGAGTCATGGTCTTTGGGGCTTCACAGAGATCACTCTCAAAGCTGTGTCATTTCTAGCCTGGAACTAGAAAGGAATGCCCCCTTTCATTCTGCGTTAGCTTTTGCATTTTGCCTTGGGAATAATCCACAAGAGCTTACCACGTAGTCTCTATCCTCCAGCTCATGTGGAGCTACTGGGATCATATTTCTAAATAATGGACATTATCCTGCCACTCCATACAGCAGACACCTCCAACACATCATGTGGGGTGCCCTGCACAGCTGCTCTGGGTCCTCAGCAAGTTGTGCCCCTTCCTACTGCATTTCATTTTTCCTCAGGATTACTGGTGATTCTGTTGTGTTTTTCTTTCCCCAACTGGTCAATCCTTTTAAAGACAACCTTTCTTTCAGAGTCATGCAAGAGAATATGTTCATCTTTTCTTTAAACTTTTAAAAATCTGTTCTTTCGAAGGCCAGGGCCAGAGCAGAGTTAGGACTGATGCTAGAATGACAGGTAGACGGAGTCCAGCATCTCCCTAAGTTCTGCTGAATACTAGAACCCAAAGATACTCCATAGACCAAGAATCTCCAGGTCAATTGTGTTGGGGACACATCTGTCCCTATTCACTCCCTCAGAGAGCCACATTGTAAAGGAATACACAGACCTTGTAAAGGAGGTTCATTTTGTTTAACTCAATGTTTCTCAAACTTTTTTGAACAATGGAAACTCTTCAGTATTGGTAACATGAATAAAAATAACTAAAAATTTTAAAATGTTTACCCACATTTAATTCCCCATTAGCCATTTCATCTATTTCAGTGAATTAATATTTATGTCTTGAGGGATCAGCAACAATGTTGCTGATAATAATCAAAGAACTCAAAATTTTATGGAATCTAATCTTGCTCATCTTCCCAAGTGGTCAGAGAAAATTAAAAGCCAATCACAAGGAGAAAGATCCAAATAAATACTTAGTTAAATGACTAAGTTCTGAGAGGCTGAACAGAAATGCTGCAATATCAAAAATTTGACCAAAACATACTAAAAATACTAACAGAGGAAGGACATACCCTTGATTGCCACATTTCTTTCTTCAGCATCTAACAAATCATTGATGATGTAAAAATCTTATTCTTGTACCAGAAATGATAATGCTAAGCGTGAAAGTGCCACCTGGCATGTCATTTCTGCCCCCGCCTCACCGGTGGCCGTGGTCTGCAGAGAGGCGTGCCGCTCGCACTTCCACTCCCCTCTGCCGTTCCCGGTGCACAGGCACTGCAGCAGGTTGCCTCTGCTGTCCTTCTTGCTCCAGGTGTCGCCGATTCTATAGGATGTCCTCGTGTCCTGGTCGTTGCACCTGTCTGTGTCACAAAGGAAGCATTTAAATACGTCAGTCAGGTTGAGAGTGGAAAGTGGTCAATTCAAACCTAGAAATGAAATGCTGGATGGCACTTTAATGGCTGGCATCCCAATTTTTGGTGACATGTTCCTATTCAGTTCTGGTGCTAAATGATGAGATGACATTTGTTACAGTGGAAAGGGAGTGCATGTTTGGTTTAGTTCTACCAAACCTTTGTAACTAGCTTCCATTACTTTATATATATATATATATATACACCATTTTTTTAACCAGATTCATTCTCTGACCCTCTATCATTCTGTCTTTTTCCTTCTCAGGCTTTCCCAGGCTTTTTCTTAGTCATTACTGTATATGACCCACATTTCAATAGGGTGCTTTCTGTAGAAAACCAAGGCAGGCAAACAAGGCTCAAAGGGTCCCCGCCAACTGCTCCACAGAAGCTATACAAACTCAGGGACTAATGATGTCTTTGACTAATACATCATCTTCTCTCCCCTACCCCCAACACCTACAGCATTTAAAAATCACTAACAAAAGTCTTCAGTGTTGGCCCGCCAATGGAAAGGTGGTATTATTGAGGTAGAATGATAATTTGTAAGTAAATTACCATTAATCTATGTGTTCATTTATCTGCCAAATAGATTGTTTAAATTACAATCCACCTTTGCTACAATGTAAGTATGGAGGATCTAATTTGTGGTTCAGACACTACTGCGACTATTAAGTTAGAGACAAAATAATTACACCGTTGTAATGTTCATACAAATACACACCCACACTGACCTGCCATAAGAATGGAAATTTGAATGAGGGTGTTAATTGCCGATTTCCCAAATCACCAGCTAAAAGTTCTATCGCCCTCTGAGCCTCCAAAACACTATTTTCACTCTTCTTTTGAAATCTTTAATTTAATGTTATGTTTCATAGATGATAAACATGGATCAGACTTTCTCATCTCCCTGACCTACCACGTGCTCTTTGAAGGCTGGGTTAATATCCCATTCCTATGTGTCCCTGTAACACCTCGTGATGTTTTCCCCAACTTGCTACTAAAAAACAGATAAACTTGAACCAGACACCAAATTTATCTTCAGCTAAAATATTGCCACAAAGGTCTTGGAAGTCTAATGATCACAACAACATTTTAAATACAAAAGCTCTAATAAACCAGCAAGTTTCCGGAAAAGATGGGGTCAGAATTGTTATCACTTTCCATGAGATGCTTATTTTTTTGTTTGTAGAGAATTCACAAATTTGGGTGATGGTGGTTTTAAAATAGTTAAATATTTTAAACTAGATGAACAAAATATGTTCAAAATGTTTAGATTTGATTTTACATTTATTTATGACACCAATAGTTATTGGCTGTTCTGCTTCACCGAACTCTATAGCTGCTATTAAAATCCAAAAGAGGAGCCTTAAAACTAGAAGGTAATAATTAAGACCTCAAGACAATCTTCCAACAGTAAAGATGCCTGAGGCCAGCTTCTTTACAACATTAATAAAAGCTTAGGGAAGAGACACTATCCTTAACTCCAGAGTAGACAAATCATTTTAACCTATGGGATAAACACATTGTGTTTTCATTAGTTTTGCTTATGAATATGTCTTAATTAAATTTCAAACACAGAAAGAAACTTAAGCCTTTAGAGCTATGTTCAATCCTATAGCAATAGCATCAGGTGCCAAAAAATGCACTTGCATGTTATTTTAATGATTCCTTTGCTCTTGACACTTGAAAAATACCTCAGTAATAATGTAGATCAATCTTCAGGTCTATGACACATTTGGCACTTGTAAAAATATTAAAGTTCTTTTTTAGTACACACAGCTGATAGTCTAAGACCTTACTGAACTAAGATTTCTTTTTTATTTATTTAGTCTTCTCTGAAAATGCAGAATAAGTTGGTCATGGAATTTTTCTTGAAATTCAAAAGTTACCAAAGCACCCTGGCATATCAGGCGTGTTCTAAGTGACACGATGTTACAATTCTCTCTAGGAATCCAGAAGACAATACCTGGCTTAATCTGTAACACAAAATCTAAAACCTACTTCTGGAGGTACAGGTGATGCGTCCACTGCCTTCGCCCAGGCAAGTACAATCCACCATCATCCAGCCTTGATAAGGCTTTTCCCAGGTTTCCCCAACCACGTAGGAAGTCCCAGCAGCATGATCAAAACATTTCTCAGCTGTAAGGAAAAGAGGAAGAAAAACAGAAAAAAGGGTTCATTTGAATTGTCCAGTCTCTCTGTAATTTAAAGTGTGTGTGTAAGCAAAAATTCAGCCACATTTTTTGGTAAGTGGCACTCTGTTCAGAAAGAAAGGCACACCCTACATCTGAGCACACAGTAAGGAGCCAAGGCAAAAGGAAGCTCAAGCCGAGTTGGCAGGCAGAAATTCCGTTTGCCTAATAAGTACATGGGCTGCATATTTTCAGCTGGTTGCAAACTTCACACGAGCATTCTGCGTAGCAAGGACCTATGTATGTATCTAGTCTGTGAGAGATTATAGTTGCAAAATTCCAGTCTTAATTGTGAATGACCAATCGTGAGTTTTGAATGGTCTACATAAAGTGATAAAAAACTATTTAAAGATGAGGATTTCTATAGAAACAGAGATAAAGCAAAACAAATTAAAACCTCTGAATTAGAGGAAAGAAAATAGAGTAAAATTCACAGCCAGAAACTTTCGGACTTGGCCCCTATATAGTTCAACTTAGGATCAAGGCCAAAAGAAGCTCGACAATTTTTAATTTGAAAAGAAGCTACCAACAGGTGACAGAGCACACATGAGTCTGCATTTTGGTCCAGCCCACTTCATAAACAATTGTGTCAAAAGTCTCATTGTTTTTCTTTTAAATAAAATTTATCTTGACCAAAGAGACGCTGAGATCAAACATTGAGCAAGAGAAATGACTCTGTGCTAAAATTTTCAACTCTTTCTTGCCTTTCTGTGCTTTGGAAACAAACTTAGGATTTCCATATGGGGTTAGGCCTTTTTGATCTGATTCCAGTAAGAAGACTATGGGTTACATAAGGTTTCGTTATTTCAAATGAAATTTCCATTTCTTTATTTTTTTGACTGGCATTCAGGCCTCTTATCCTTGTAGATGTGATTTTGGTTCACCCTAATGTTCCACAGGAGCGTCCCCAGCCACTGCTGGTCCCTGACTGTCACACACCTATGGGCTTGCAGGTCCATTCTCCTTTTCCATTCCCAAGGCACACACACTCTAGCATGTAACCACCAGTCTCATGAGGCCTCCTCCAGGTGTCCCCAATCTTGTAGGACTGACCCCCTTCATGGCAGCGGTCTGTTGGAAGTATAAAGCAAGTGTTAGGAGAGTGTAGAACAACAACAACAACAACAAAAGACTCATGTTCCACCCGCCATAGGAACTAATGTTGGCAAAGTAGAGACCTGGAGAAGAGGTTTTTCAACAGAGACTGGGGGCAAGTTAACAGGTTTGGTCACTTTGGGCCTATTCAATTAAGTGTGTTGCTTAAAGCACAATGGAAAACAGAAATCTGAATGGCAAAGAAGAGGTCATAAATTCTGGTCCCTCAGACAGATCATAGGAAATTGGGTTCTACACAGAAAAGCAAGCCTCGGAGGCATGGCCTCTACTTAGACACAGCAGGTTGAGCCTGAGACTAATTCAATGAAAAGACCACACATCAGGCTTAGCAAGCCAACTTTTGGGAGTATGAAGAACTCCTATTTTACCCTAGGATAGAAATGTCATTTGGTTGGGAAGCAACCAGGCATATACATATAAAGTGTGAAAATCTTGGTACTTTTCTAGGCTGTTAAGCCCAAAGGCACATTCAAAGGCTGAATTGTCCACTAGATTATAAACACTATGGACCATTGATTCTTGACATTTGCCAATAAACTTGGATAAACCCTAACATTAAGTATGGGGAAACTTGACTGTGTCTATTCACAAGGTATTAACTTATTCCTTTAGACAGAAGCCTTTAAGATGACTTATATTCAAGGATGGATTAAAAAATTAAATGCTATGTTAACAGAATCTATTGGTAATCCAGTGAATCATCTTGGAAAGACTGCCTTAGCTTAACTAGAGTTGATAAGTCAGTCCAGTCCCCAAAGTTCCTTAGAGTATATTCTTGGGGGTAATTATTATTCTTAGAAACATTGAGATCTGTTTCTTGGGCATAACCTATTGGTTACAGAGAAACGGTTTCTGTGAGATGCAAGAGGTCTTTGTATGGCAAATAACAAGAGCAGACAAAAACATGACTGATTCACTCATCATACAGATCCTCCCAAGCACTGCAGAGTCACATGATCTATCTGGATCAAAAATGTCCAGGTAATTTAAAATGAGCAACTTCTTTAAGCATATCTTACTGAAATGGATCCCAAGAGATCTAGTTGGTTATGCTATGTACACACACACACACATACTCAAATCCACACATATGAAACACTGATTATATCTGTGCTCATATGTAACCTTAAGAAGCACAGGAATCAGTTGGGTGACCGTATCAAAGTGCCTGGTCATCAGAGATAAATCGCAAACTATCCCGTCACAGATAACAGAAAGTGATGTCAGTGATGGTAATAGACAAATTCTTATTTATGATATTTTAGCATCATTTTACATAATGATTTCCTTACTTGCAATGGTGCAGCTGATTCTCCCTCGCCCAGCCCCAATGCAGGTACAGTCCCAGATCATGGAGTCTTTAGGGCGCTCATAAGTGTCACCCACTCGGTAGGTGTTTCCAGTGTACTTGTCAAAGCAAGTCTCTTCAGCTGCGAGGAAAGGAAAAGTCCACATAAGCCTCGCTTAGGTAAAAAGCTTTTCTAGCCCACTAATCCCATCCAAAAGAAAACCTAGTTTTGTATTTCTACAAGTAGCGTGGTACACCTAAAAGTTTAAATTAAAGTCAGAGACACAGACTTTACACTCGGCCCTAATAGGGCCGCACTGTTTTTGACTTTTGACAAGTTCTTCAATTTTCTGTAAGTTAATTCATCTTGTAAAGAATTCTCTGGTGCTTAGGAAAAAGCCATATAAGGCACGGCCTTCTGACAAGGTTAGATTGGGAAGGAAGAAGTCCAGATTCTAATCTCTAACCCAGGAAGTCAAACCAAGGTCCACATAAAAAGCAAACAATTTGGGACTCTACCTCTCACCAGGTATTGACACTAGTTAATTCTGTTATTTGCATTTGAGCCCGATCTGTGCTTCTCTAATGAAGTTGCTCTGGTTTATAAGAAACATACCAATGGTCCTAAAGGAATGAGAACTTGGAAATGGCTAGTGGTCTTGTGTTCACTGTAGCTGACAAATCACTTTACAACAGAGTGTCTAAAAGTTTTTGGCCCATAATCTGACAGTTTAAGATTTGAAACTACTTTCTAATATAATAAAATTTTGTAATTTAAATGTTTTTTGGAGGGAGGACACACAAAAATCTTTCATTTTCTCATCCAAACCTTTGGGAGAGTCAAAGAAAAAGAAGACTCCGGGCACCAGCTTGGGACAGATTTGTTTCTTGGCTTTCAAGGTAAAAGCACCCGAAAAGCAAATATAAGCAGTTATTAATCGTTCATAGAGAGAAAATGACAGGTAATTCTGTTGGAAAGACGGTGTATGTATTTTTTTACTTACTAATGGAAAGTTTAATTAACAAGCACCCCTTCATCTATTAAAAGATCCTGACCCAGGGTGGCACCTGTGGCTCAAGGAGCAGGGCACAGGCCCCATATGCCGAGGGTGGTGGGTTCGAGCCCAGCCCTGGCCAAAAACTGCAACAACAACAACAAAAAGATCCTGACCTGGAGGGCTCCCCACGACTTACGTTCTGGTTTGCTCTCGCAGTTAAAACCTCGGCTCCCTCCATAACAGGTACAAATCAAGGCATTGCCTAGGTAAGTGCGCTCCCATTGCTGATTTATGTGGTAGTGTTGCCCATTGTCATAACAACCGACTGTAAATAATTGAAGAAAAAAGTTATTACATTTCTATCCCTCTTTCTTTTCTCCAATGATGGAATTTTCTTGCACAACTACATTGATCACCCTGAGTATCAAACATGGAAAAATAATTATTAGAACACCAGCAGACTTAAAAGCAGTATTCTAGTCAATGTAGATGTAGAAACTAGCTTCTAGAATTTGAACACATGGACGCTTTAGTCTTCCTTTTCGGTTTTTTTCTTTTAACTTAGGTACAAGTTATACGGTGATGTCATTTCCATCTGGCCAGTGGTCTACATCAAAAAGATGGAAACACTTTGAAAGGCAGATAATTAAAATTGCATTTTAAAGCTTGCAAGAAACTTCAGCGCTTTTTTTGGAGTAATAATCAAGAAGGACAACTTTAAGCAGTTTCCTTTAGCCCAAGAAGGGTGTGTCTTTCAAAAACTGGGAAAGGAATTCCCATCTCTGTCCTTGGTGAAGTTTTCTGAGGGGCCAAAACGATCTGAACCAAGTATGTGTCTTTCAAGTTAGAAACAACATAGCTATTTAGCTACCCTCTTCCTGCCCCCATTTTGAAACTATTTAACCAATTATTTAGTAACAAAGAAAATAAGGAGCCGTTAAGGATCACACTAGTCCCAGATGGAAAATTAACAGACACACACCATTTTTCTTCTTAAGGGTAAATTTTGATTAATTCGCTGACGGCTGATCTGAACACTGGGGAAGATCGCAGAGCCCCTGTCCTCTAATCTTATTATCCTAGGCCCTCAGAACCAGTCTACCCCAAACTACAGCCTTTTGTGTGCACAGCTGCTTTCTCCGAGCGCGCACACGCTCGCGCACAAGCGCTCGCAAAACTTCAGCGGCAACTTTGGTCGGCTCTGCGGTCCCATCCCCGAGGCAGCCTGATTCAGCCCGCGGACAGTACTCACGCTTGTTTTGACTGACAGGCACAGGGACCTGGGGCTGAACGATTTGCTGAGCCTGCCTCTTGCTCTTCGAGGCTCCGGTGGAGAGCACCGCTGTCCCCAGGCACAGGACGGCCAGCAGCCGCAGCCCGGGCCCCGGATCCCTGAGCATCTTGAGAAGGTGGTGGTGGGCAGTCGCCCTCACTAGGAGGCAAGTTGCCACCAAGTTTGGTTCCCTTCGCAACCTGTGGGAAAAGTCCCTTCCAGTGCCTCCTGGGGGGGTTGACGCTTCCTAGAAAGTGGGGACCAGAGGGTGGGGGAAGGGCACGGGTAGAGGGGCAGAGGGGATGGAGAAGACGACAGAAGTTGTGGCCGTAGGTCCCTTCTCCCTGCTCGCGCCCGGGGGGCTCCCTCTCCTCCCCCAGTACAGCACAGCTGGCGCGGGCGGCTGAGCCCGCAGCACCCGGGCTTATATGGGACAGTCCCCTCCCTCCCCCCCGCGAGGCCCCGGGCGCCGGGGAGGAGGGACCCGCCCGACTCCCCCGCCCCTCCCGCCGCCGCCGCCGCCGCCGACCGCGCGCCGATTGGCCCGAGCTCCGGGTGACGTCACGGGGGACTGTGGGTTCGCGGCGAACAAAAGAGATGCTGATGGCCCGCCAGCGCCGGGGCTGGAGAACTTTTTTTCGGTTTCCTTTGCGGTCGTCAAACTTTTTCGGGGGTGGGGGCGGAGTGATGGGAAGAGGCTGGAACGCGGTAGATGGGCAGCGAAGAGAGAGGCTGGACTGGTGTGGAGCGAGGGGTTGCCAGGCTTCCCCGCCCCACCTTCCCTTTTCTTTTTCATTAAGGGGGGTGGTGGTATTTGAGGACATTGCGTCACCTCTGGAAAAAAGGAAAAAAAAAACCCCTCTGCTTACGAGAGTGCATTTTGTGGAGAAGAAAAACCATAAAGTAGCCACCACCTTGCAGCTGTAGGAATCCAGACTTCGCAGTCCCAGGGCGGGGCTGGCCTTCGCGTTCCCTTGGGCTAAAGTGCAGTGACTTGGGACCCTGCCTTCCCTGCTTCCTGTTCGGACTCCTCGTCACGGCGCTGTACCTGCCCGGTCCTGAGGAAGGGCTGGCTGCGAAGGGCGACCGGCGGAGGAGAGCGAGCCTTTAACTGAGCTTCTACTCAGTCCCAGGAGTTCTGCGCTCCGCTTTGCCCACCTGGGGGGAATTCAAAGAACCAAGTTTCTTTCGAAGGGACAAAGCGTCAGTTTGTCTGTTTTAAATGTGCAGGAAAGTCTTCCCCAGGAATGGGTGCCCACTTCCCCTGAAAGTGGAATGGACAGGGAAAGATCTTCGTGTCCTGGCCCACGTTCACCCTGCTGATTGCACACAAAGCAGAGATTTTGTGTCCATCGCTAAAAGCCGACGGGAAGAGGGTGGCGGGGGGTGGGGGGCGGCGGG